CAAATTCCCATGGAGCTGGCCCCGCGGCTCACTAGGCTAATCCTCCGCCTAGCGGCGCCGGCACACCGGGTTCTAGTCCCGGTCGGGGCGCCGGATTCTGTCCCAGTTGCCCCTCTTCCAGGCCAGCCCTCTGCTGTGGCCAGGGAGTGCAGGGGAGGATGGCCCAGGTGCTTGGGCCCTGCACCCCATGGGAGACCAGGAAAAGCACCTGGCTCCTGGCTCCTGGCTCCTGCCATCGGATCAGCGCGGTGCGCCGGCCGCAGCGCGCCGGCCGCGGCGGCCATTGGAGGGTGAACCAACGGCAAAGGAAGACCTTTCTCTCTGTCTCTCTCTCTCACTGTCCACTCTGCCTGTCAAAAAAAAAAAAAAAAAATTCCCATGGAAGGGTATCCAATAAATTACCTGACCAGCTTTTCTGAAAACTGTCAAGGTCCAGGCACCTATGGGCCAAATCCAGCCTGCCATCGGCTTTTGTAAATAGATTGGTGGGAGAAGAGGCATACTTATTCATGTGCACACTGTCTATGACTGCTTTGCTGTACAAAAGTAAACTAGTCATAGAAGAGACCATATGTCTTGCAGAACCAAAAGGTATTTACTGTGGTTCTTCACTGAAGAATTTTGATGATCTGAAGGTAGGTGTTTGGAACAACAGTTAAGAAATCCACATTGGTGTGCCTGGGTTTAAGTCCTTGCACCACTCCTAATTCCAGATTCCTGCTAATGAGCACCCTGGGAGGCCGTAGGTAATACTTCAAGTGGTTGGGTTCCAGCCACTCATGTGGGAGGCCCAGATCAAGTTCCTGGCTGCCAGCTTCAGCTTGGCAGTGAAAGAACATTTTCTCACAAACTCTCTCAAATATAAATTTTTATTTTATTTAGATTGTACTTGTTTGAAAGGCAGAATTACAGAGAGGAGAGAGATTGATCTTCCATCACTGGTTCATTCCCCAAATGGCTGCAATGGCCAGGGCTGGGCCAGGCTGAAGCCAGGAGCTCATGTAGTCTCTCATGTGGGTACAGAGGCCCAAATACTTGGGCCATCCTCCATTGCCCTCCCAGGCACATTAGCAGGGGGCTGGATTGGAAGTGGAGCAGCTGGGACTCAAATCAGCACTCTGTTGGGATGCTGGCATCGTGGGCTGCAGCTTAACCCACTGTACCACAGCATCAGTCCCTCAAATACAAATTTATAGAAAATTATGCTAATTTCTTTCACCTTCAAAGCCATACAGGATGTACTTCCAATTTGATTTCTTCTGCCATATGTCTCTCACTCTAGCCTGAGAAAACTTGGAAGTTTGTGTGATAAGATTTGGTCCACAGGGATAACCCACAATAACCTTATCAATTTTTATAATTGTTCTTGTATCTGCAAAAATCTTTTTTTTGCTACTTACCAGAACATATTTAGAGATTTCAGAAATTTGGGCAGGATATCTTTGAAGGGTTACTCTGCCTCCCCAAAAAACTGGGACAGTATTCGCCCGAGGCAAACATGACAATTACATCCTGCAGGACCAACTGTGGCCCTGTTGCCAGCCCATGGGAGACAGGGCCAATCCACCCTTGTTTCTCTTAATACTGTGCCACCTAGAACCCTTCACTCCAGATAATAAGGACTAATTAATCAGTTTTGGTCTGTGAAGTTAACCACATTCTGTAATTCCATTGGTTTAACCCTTTACTTAACACAGAATTATTCTTAGGTATTTAAATCCAATTGAAAATTTATCCCTGTTAAAAATAAGAGTGGGAATAAGAGAGGGAGGAGATGTACATTTCAACACACATTCCATTGGACTTACCCCTGAAGGTGAGGTTGAAAACTTGTCATGGGACTCCAAATCCCATTAAGTTGGCAGGTACCAATGCCATCTTACTAGTTAAAGTGATAGTTTTAAGTGCATAACTGATCATAAAGATAGGATTAAGTGTCAAAGGGATCACATAAATAAGACCAAGTGTCTGCTAATAACAAATAGAATTAAAAAGGAGAGAATGATCCAACATGGGAAGCAGGTCACACAGCAGACTCATAGAATGACAAATGCCCTAAACAGCAGTATGGCCTCAGAATCAGCCTTAAGACCTGCGGATCTGGCTAAAAAGCCCATGAGAGAATTTCATAACTGGAAAGCCAAGACACTGTGGCAAAAAAAATGACCTACATGAAAGTTCTCTGAGAGAGATCCCAATGGAAAGAAGGGGTCATCAAAGGAGCTACCTTTCTCTGAAGGGAGGAGAGAACTTCTACTTCAAATATGGCCCTGTCTAAATAATGTTGAAATTTGTGGACTCAAGAGGCTTCCATAGCCTTGGTAGCTCATGACAAGAGCCTCGGGTGATCACTGGAGTCATAAATAAGAGTACCAATTGTTAAATCAACAACAGGAGTCACTGTGTACTTGCTCCCCATGTAGGATCTCTGGTCTTAATGATTTGTACTATGAGTATTAACAGTAAAACTTGTCTTCAAACAGTACTTTATACTTTGTGTGTCTGTGTGGGTGCAAACTGTTGAAATCTTTACTTAGTATAGAGTTGATCTTCTGTATAGAAAGATAATTAAAAATGAATCTTAATGAAGAATGGGATAAGAGGGAGTAGGAGATGGGATGTGAGTGGGGATGGGAGAGCAAGTATGGTGGGGGGAGAACTGCTATATTCCAAAAGCTATACCTATGAAATTTATATTTATTAAATAAAAACTTAAAGAAATGCAGATAGATTCTCAAGCCATGCCCCAGACCAACTGAATCAGAAACTCTGAGATAGGTTCCTCAGTCAGCATTTGCAAGCCCTGCAGGTGATCCGGATGCATACTAAAGGTTGAAAACTACTGCAATGTAGGGCTAGATGGAGCAGTAGATGAAGTTGTGCCTGTAGAACACTAGAGCTGGCACCCACATACAGGCACTCTGAGACAAAAAGGATTCTCAATTCCTTTTACAAACAGTGAATTGATGGATCACTAACACTTTACTGTAAACTAGTTCAAAATATCATCTAGGAAATATTTGCACCTACAAGGCCATGTGACATAGTACATGTTATTTTTTTCCTCATTTTTAAAAAACAGATGGCAGAATTGGGGCTCAAGAAGGTGAGGATTTTCCTTAAGGTTACCTGGAGTAAAGAAAAACAGGAATAGGATCCAGACAACTAACTCTGCATTTGGTCATTTTCCAGCCCCCTGCCCTCCCCTTCCCCAGCTCCTATTTAGCATTAAGGACCAACCCCCTGATGGGGAAAGAATAATTAAGAGCTTATCATGGGCCCTGCAAGGCTCTGGCTGCTCAGAGGGACTGAGCATATCTGTATACGGAGAATCTAAAGTCTCCTGCCTGGGGACTTAATCGTTCTGCCCTACTTGCTGACGAAGGCATGAAAATATGACCCTGATCTGCAAGGTAGCATTCTCCTCCCATTTCTGCTAAAAATACAAGAGTTATTGTAACCACAACCCATGTAAAAGTTGATTTAAACACATCTAAATAGGTCATTCACTGTTATGTGTTTATTGTATTCACCATCTCTCAGATTTTCAAGGTGATGGAAAATATTTTTGGGTAAAGGCAATCTGGCATGTTAATCTAAACAAAACATGCCCTGGTCAGTGTCCCAGTATTAGAAAGACCCTGTATTGATCCAGTTTGTGTTGCTCTGTTGCTCGAATAGAATACCTGAGGTTGGCTACTTTACCACAAAAAAAAAAAAAAAAAAAAAAAAAAAAAAAAAAAATTTACTTCTACTTGGCTCTGGTGAGGGGCTCCTGGCTATATCACATGGTGGTAACACATGTGTGAGAGAGAGACAGGAGACCAGAGGCATCCAGGAACCAAGCTCACTGTTTATTACAACAGCCCACTCTCTCAAAAACCAACCAGAACCCTGTAAGAACTGCATTAATTCCTTCCATTGGCAATGTCCTCAGTGACTTATTGTCCTTCCATTGGGCCTCACCAGCACCACCAGCTACACATGAGCCTTTGGGGACACCCTAAAATCACAGCTAGCCCTGTGGCCACAGTGCCTGTGCAGTGGTGAGAGTGTCGAGACTGTTTTAGAGGGTTAAGATATTTTAATAGCCCACTAAGGACCAGGCAACACACTAGATATAAGGAGTCGGCGGTTCAGATGAAAGGTGGAATTATTCACTGAGAAGTTACACCTCTGGTAACAAGGCTAGACAAACACCTGTAAGGACAGAGGTGGACTATAGGTGAGAAAGTCTGGAATCTTCTCTCAGCCTTGACCGTAACTGCAACAAGGTACCTGAGAGGCAGTGTCATTCAGTGGTGGCCTTCTGGATCTGGGAGTGGTGCCAGCATTCTGAGGAGTCCAGAAAACATGCCAGACTGATGGTGGGGTAGAAGCTACACGACTTCAGGGATCTCCTCTGCAGCCAGAATGGGCAGGCTCAGAGCTCCACAGTATGTCACTGCTGTGCTTTACATACCTTGTCGTTTATGTCTGTCTCCCTGAAGTTTTTTTGCTTTGGTTCAGTGTGGTCTTTTGAGAGTTTTAGCTATCTCCATGTGGTCGTGAGAGCCAGAAATACTTTGTGTCTACCTCAGCTTCTCAGTCTAGAGACCATTTAGAGGGGCCCCAAGAATCAGCTTCGGCACCCTGACATTTTATTTAGAGAGGCAAATTTCTTACCAAAACTACATCTCTTAGTGTAAGAATTACAGTGCTACAGGGGATTTTAGAATGAAATCTAACTTCTAAAAATATAGCCCAGACATTTTCTTATTGTCCCAAGGTGAATGATGACAGGAGACAGCCTCCCTGGCAGCCCTGATGTTGAAGGAAGGTACATCAAGGCAGAAGAGAAAATTTCCTCAAACCAACAGGACCCCTCTATTTAGAAGCTGCCCTCTGCTTCTTAGCCACAAGATCTACAGGGAAGAGAGGGGTGAGGTTTCTTTCGAAGTCTTGTTCTTCCTCCTACATCAAATAACCAGGACAGCTCATGTGCACAGAAGGTCCACTACCTTCTTGAAGTCTTCAGCCCTTGCACTTGGATTACTCTCCAATTCTTTTCACCATCATCCTAGGTCTTAAAGGGAGTTTGAGATGAGGCAAAGGGATTTCAGCAGTTGGTGCCAGCTACTGCTCCTTGGTTTCTCCCAATCTGAAACTGGGAGCCAAAACAAGGTGTTACTCTCAAGGCCAGGTGGACGATAAGTTCCTCTACCTTCTCTGTCAAGGAAAGACAAGACTTAGGAAAAGTTCCAACCTGTCTTACCAGCTACCCGCCCAAGCCTTGACGGCCAGACCAGCGAGGTCTCTGTCCAGGAAGCCTTCACTTTCTTTCCCTTACATAAGACCCTGCTTCTGCCTCTTTACTTCCTTATCCTGCCCTACCCTTGTCCTGTCATGGGTGACCCCTTAACCTTCCTGCCTGCATGTGTGGCCACACAGTAGCTCTTATATTTCTCTGGGCCAGTTCTGCTCAATTTGGTCCCCTGCTTTGATCAGCAGGAACTTCCACTCAAGATCAAGTTCACAAACTTCCTCTAATTATACATTCCTGAACAGTCATCTTTCAAAGGTGCGTTGTATTCAATTCTAATCATCACCTTTTTATTTCACAATACCTGTATTTTAAAATACAACTGTCATAATCCAAGAAGTAAAGGTATTCAAACTGGTATGTTAATAGAAGGAAATAGTTACCAATTTCTGTGCATTTGAGGATGTACCAATCACTGCAATAAGTTCAGTTCACTGGGGATTCATGTTCCCCTAAGCATTTAACAGAATTGAATGCAGTTAAAGCAGAACTAGGAAACTTAAAGAATTGATAATTTTGTCCCTTTGAACATAGACTAGAGGCAATGTATTTCAGTATTACTGAACTTCCAGAGGCTACAGAAAATAGCTATTATTTTATTTTTAGTTCTAGCAATCTACAAATCCTAACCTGAGATTCCTAATATTCTTCTTACACATTACACATTCAATACACGTTAAAGAAGAGGTTTTGACTTAGAGCACTGAGTCAGGAATCTCAAAGCCAATCGTGTGACACAGTACAAGTCCTATGCATCCCCCCAAACGTTAATTTACAAATTGGAAAATGGGAGAGTAGCAATGTATGTCACATTTATAGGGCTGTCATCAGGATCAGTGACAGAACACATGTGAAAATGCCTGCGAGGGTCTGGCACAGCCTCAGAGAATCCTTGGTTGGTATAATAGCTTTTCCTTGTCAGATAGGAGAGACAGCCTTGATTCTATAAGCAATGCACTTTTCAGAACTCTGACAAATATTACTTTCAAAAGCTTAGCCTCCAGTGACAATTTAGGTTATGATATTTTCACTTTCAAAAGTTAACATTAAATGCTGTGGATGCATCAGGTCCTTTCCAGGAATGTCCTCTTAGATCACTGCCTGTAGACACAGAGGGGTGAGTCACAGGGCCATGATTTGAATGCACACTTAGCTGGTGCTTCCTACACACTCATAGCCTCAAAGTGGGCTGAGGACTATCTACACCAGAGCCACCTGAAAGCTTTAAAAAGCATGGATTCCAGAGAGAAGTGTTGGTGTCAGTCCATCTTCCATTGCTGTGACAAAATACCCGGCATAAAGAAAAGATGTCTTTTCTTATGGAAAGTACTTGAAGCTGGGAAATTTAAGAGCCTGGTGTCTGTAAGTCCTCATGCTGCTCCAACTCATGGTGGAACACGAAGTGGTACGCAGAAGTGCATGAAACAGAACACAGAGGCAGCTTGGCATTATGAGAGCTCTGCCTTGAAAAAAGGAAGCCATTCCCAGGAGAAAGGTGTGCATCCCTCTTGAACACTGTTGTAACACTGTTATACTGGGACTCAGATTTCAACATGGGACTCGGTAGGGACAAAGGGTACCCAGATGATAGCACAGGGCATTGAAGAGATGCAGCACTATTCACCATAGACAAAAGGGGAAAGTGATACCCACATCCACTGATGGACAAATAAAATATGGCAAATATTCATATTTGTGGTAGGATATCATTAGACCTTATAAAGGAAAATATGATATTTGATACATCCTTGAGGACATTGTTTAATGAAATTAGCAAGACACAAATACTATATGATTCCACTTATAAGAGGTACCTAAAGCAGTCAACTTAGAGAAAATGAAATGGTTGATGCCAAGGGTTAGAAAAGGGGAGAATGGGGAGTTAGAGTTTCTGAAATGAATTGTGATGACAGCTGAACAGTGTGAATTACTTCATGCCATTGAACTACACATTTTAAAAATGTTAAGATGGCCCTTGTTGCACCATGCCTCCAGGCACGAGGCCTTGCTTACTCCACATGGCACCTGGCCTGCTCTCTGCCTGGGATGGACCCAACTTAGCTTCTAGACTTCTTTCTCACTTTAATTAAAGCCCTCACATTCCTGTGCATTTCTCTCACTGAATAAAACCTTTAAAAACTTACCATGTTGTCTGGTCTATTTGAGCCAGTATTCAGAATTCTTCTCTGAATCGATGGCAAGAACCCACCAAGATTATTATTATTAAAAATTATTAATAAGCTAGACGATATAATAATGGTGACTGAAGTAGGCAGGCATATAGGTTAAAATCGATCAGGTTTGAGAGCTGGAAGACCATGCCTTTGCCACACCCCTGTGTGACCTAACACCCTGATACCTTCACCACACCCCTGTGTGACCTCATGCCCTACCTGGCCACAACTGGGTGCCCACCAGCCAATCAGGTTAATTAACCACTCCCCTTTGGAAGTGGGTTAAAAGCCTGGGACACATTGTGTCCAGCCTTCTCTTCTTCCCTGGCCTCTTGCCAGGAGGGGGCCTGCTGTAACCCTGCGCCTCCAGGGCACGTGGCCCGAAGGCTTCCTGGCCTAGATGCTCCTCCACATGGCTGGTTCCTGGTGCTCCGTATGAACCCAGATTTAGCTCTCTCTCTTAAAGTTCTCACTCTCCTATGCATCTTTCTCAAGGCTTAAAATGTACCATGCTGCCTTGTTTATCTGTGCCGGTATTTAGAATTCTCTAAATATTAGGCAAGAACCTTCTCAGGCTTATTAATATTAGGGATTTATTAATAACTGTATGGTTATATCGCATGGCACCCCAAATTCTGGTAGCATATGTTGAACCCCAGATGGCGCTTCTGGGGTAAAGGGCCACATTTTTGTGTAGATTTTAGGGGGTCATTCCTGATATCAGTGACTATGAAGGGACTTTAATAATGGAGGGATTCCCCCGATATTAATTAAAAAGGAAAAACCAGCAACATGGTAAGAGACTGCTTCCCCTGGCTTGTAACTTTGCTTACCTTTCTGCATTCAACCCCATCCCTTATCTGCACTCAGGGCTTCCCCTTAGATCAAGGAGCAAGCATTCACCCTGCCATACCCTGCCTCTGCCAGGGCTGGGAGAAGAGAAGGTTTTCCACTCTGGTGCAGGGTAGGGGGCCTGGGTTGTGCTCCTTACCCACTGCCAACCCTGAGGAGAGTGCAGGCTCTGGCTGTGCTGATGGCACTCTCACTGCTCCTCTGGTTCCAGCCCCACAGCCCAGGTGCCAAGGAGAGTACACTCCTGGGGGAGAGGCAGGAGCCAAGGCAGAGGAGATGGGATTCACATTATTCACATTTGCTCCCTCCTGCCACCACCACTGGCCCACTCAGGTCCAAGGGGGTGTTGGGCCACTCCTAGAACAGCCACAACCAAGTCACAGCTGCACAAACAGAGCAAACATGCTGGTGCTGCCTGCTCCAGCCCTGTGCGGTGCTGTAACTAGTGGCTCTAGCAAGCGCCACCCTGCCCCAGCAGCCTGAGGAACCACAGCCACTCTGCCCAGCCTTTTCATTCAAACATGAGCAAATGACAGAGCTTAGGTGGGTTTCTTTGAGTTTTAATGCTTGTGGTTTTCAGAAAATGCATGGATTGGTTTCTGTTCACTATTTCTCACTTTGATAACTACAGGAAAAAAAGACAACTTAAGTTTTTTCTAAGGTTAAAATTTAAAAGGCTTTATTTTACAGACTTTTAAATTGTATTGAAAAATTTTGCTTTGCCTCAGGGTCTTTGATTTTCAAATCAAACATGCTTTCAATTGTTAATTTCGAACTGGGGAACTGGTTTGGTTGCCTAGTAACCTGGTTGCAACAGGGAGGTGGAGCACTAAACATGGCTGATGTTCCACTTCCTGCTGCAGAGGGTGGGACTTACATTCCAAGATGGTGGCCTCCATCAGAAACATGTGGTTTCCAAGATGGTGGCCCCACAAAGGACATGAGGTCACCAAGATGTGGCCCCCATGGGAACTTCTACCCTCACTGGAATATAGTCAACAAACTCCACCCCGAGATGGCAGCCCCATGGCCTGCCACACACAGCATGCTTAAATTAACAGGGTGACTTTTTAAAATTGTGTTTTGTTATTTTGTTCTTTCCAGGAGGATTTTAATTATTTTAATTTCTTGTTTTGGCCCATGCTGACAGCTCTCACACTGGGTTTTTATTTTAAGTTTTTATTTTAATTTATTGTTTTGGCCTTAGGTTGACTCTCTTGGCCTCCTGAGATATGATACCCCAGGAGTGGCGTGACAGTCTGAACTGGCACTTCTCAGACTAAGCAGCATTTAAAAATAAAAAGAAAAAAACTCTTAAAACCCCCTCATCAGCCTTGGTAAAATAATGGATCCCATTTGGTATAAAACTAGAGAGTAAGATGTCAAGAATTGTAACTAATGAGTGTATCCATGTCACATGCCTAATGATAATTAAGCTCATGAAGAGCTGTGTCTGTTTTTATCTTCTCAGGCCCTACAGAGAAACTGTAAGGCTGTATAGTTCTGCATATATCCCTAAGGACTTAACTTCTAAGGGTACAGTTTAAAAATTTTCCAAATTCCCTTGAGCTAGATGGTAAAAGTAGCATCTTAAGTGTTAAAGTGGCAATAATAAAAAGGATTAAAGAGGAGTAAATGCTTCAACATGGGAAGCAGTCCATACAACAGACTTATAGAATAACAATTGCTATAAGTAACGCTCAGTGACCTCAGAATCAGTCCATAAGCTGATCTGTTCTGGCTGAAAAGACAAGAGCATTTCAGGTATGGAAAACTAGGATACTCATGGGAAAAGTGTCCCTACATGGAGGACCTCCTGCGCAGGACCACAGTGGGAAAAAAGGGGGCATCAAAGAAGGATGTACTTTTCTCTGAAGGGAGGAGAGAACTTCCACTTTGCTTTTGGCCTTGTATGAATACTGATGGAGCTTGTGGTTTCAAAAGACTTCCATAGCCAAGGCAGCTCATGTCAAGAGCCTCAGGTGATCACTGACATCATATATGAATAATTGTTAAATTAACAAGGATAGTCACTGTGTAGTAACTTCCCATGTGGAACCACTGTCCTCAAAGAGTTGCAGTAAAGAATTAATGGTGAAATTTTTTCCCAACGATTATATTGTTCTAATGTGTTATATTCTTATGTATCATAAGTTTTAGTTATGTCTAAGTGTCCAACTCTGTTGCCTGTATTCTTAATTTTAAAGGAACACTTAAGTGTCTCACATGTGGACTCTTCTGTCTTTGTCTCCCTGTGATACTCTGCATCCCACTAAACCCAGAATCTGGGAAAGTGAGGATACTAAATTTCCTAAACAAGAGGTAGATTACTTGGGATATGTTCTAACTCCAGGAAAATGTGCTCTTTCAGTTGAGAGAAGGGAAGATATTCTATATATAGTCTTCAAAGGCTAAAAAGCACCTAAAAACATTTCTGGGAGTGGCAAGATTCTGTAGAATATGGATTCCAAGATTTGAATTCCAAGCTTTCGTATGAAGCATTAAAAGGCCGTGACACACACACTGTTCTAGACAGGGGAGCTACAAAAGTTATTCCAAAGAATGAAGCAGCTTTTAACAGAAGCTCCAACATTGGGAACCCATGATGTCAGCATTCTATGGAATATGGATTCCAGGATTCAGATTCCAAGCCTTTGTATGAAGCTTTAAAAGGCCCTAACACAGACACACTGTTCTAGACAGGGGAGCTACAAAAATTCCTCCAAAAAATTAAGGAGCTTTAAACAGAAGCTCTAACATTATGAATTCCTGAGCAAGCCATTCATAGATTCTCTTCAGATCAGTTGCAGTTTAAATGAAAAGGACCTTATGGAGGTACTACTGAGCACAACTACCTCAGTGAAATTAGGATTAAACTTCTACCTTTTACTTTTTTACAGGTGAACTAAAGAATGCCTGATTATTCTTATAAGCCACTTGAGGATCTTAGATACCTCTTCAAAAACAAAAAGATAAGTAAAGCTTTTGCATTCATCACATCAAGAGTGATGCACCATAAGGCAAATATGCTATACCTGTCTTTTTGATTCTCTCTGGGAATATTTATTAACAATAAACTCCTTAATGGGCTCTTCTATTATAACTCTCTATGCTCAGGCTAAATGGTTTTATAATATACATAAGGGTAGCCTATCATCACCCACTATCTGGGAGTCTGTAAGATATGTTCTTTCCATCTTATGGGCACTCCAATTACAACTGATTTTGTTCCAGTTTTGCTTATGATTGGCAAACTTATTTTTCCAAACTTGATGACTTCTGAGAATGATAACTGACCATGCAGGGGACACAGCCATTGGTGGTAACTGCAAATTATCCAGCTCATAAATTCATTAGATGAGGGGCCGGTGCCGTGGCTCATCTGGTTAATCCTCCACCTGTGGCGCCAGCATCCCATATGGGCGCCAGGTTCTAGTCCCGGTTGCTCCTCTTCCAGTCCAGCTCTCTGCTGTGGCCCAGGAGGGAAGTGGAGGATGGCCCAAGACCTTGGGCCCCTGCACCCACGTGGGAGACCAGGAGGAAGCACCTGGTGCAGCACTGGCCATAGCGGACATTTGGAGAGTGAACCAATGGAAGGAAGACCTTCCTCTCTCTCCATCTCTGTCTATAACTCTACCTGTAAAAAAAAAAAAAAAATCATTAGATGAGATAGACTTCCAGAACCAGGACAGGCAGGGCCTGCACTATGCTCCTACTAGGCAGGAAGCAGCTATAGAAGATATCTGGCTCTTTCTACCACTGAACACATTCATACAAAGGCACTCATTTTGTCTTGGACTGGGCTCCTGCTCCTGCCTAGAGGGGTTCCAAGATGGCAGAGTAGGGAAGAGGCTTACTGTTCTAGCACAGAAGGCAGTTTAAAAAGAAGTGGAGATAGGGTAGTCTCAAAAAAGAGTGAGAGAAAAGAGGGAGAGGAAACTCTACTGAAATTAGAGGGACACAGTGGACCTACATGGAGGGTGTGGGCGCCCACGGCTTGGGACTCCAACAGCCAAAAGCCTATGCACCAGCTCTGGACGTGAGGCAAGACTGTAGTAGCTCAAGACACTGGCTTAAACGCAGCAGGAAGAACCTGCCAAACTAGAGAGAAGAAAAAAAAAAAGGAAAAGGTCGGTACAGGTACATTTCTCTCCAATCACCTCACAAAGGCATATGAGCTAATAAAGGAGGTACCATTATGAACATAGGTAACAGCTGCACCACCTCCTGTGTGTACCTGGCAATCAGCCGAGCAGAGACTCCTCACTCTAGTGGGGAGAAGTAAGGAGGGGACTAGGAGCCTGGGACTGCGTGAAGCCTCTGAACTGGGACTGTGAGAGGGCGTTTGGGAGAATTCACAATGTGGCTGGGACTTTGAGCAGTCCCACCAGGAGATGCC